GTGCAATCTGCTGTGCTATGATTTACAGCCTACAGAAACAGATTCAGCAGCTCTTCCTTCGTCTGCTCTCAACACATTCTTCATCAACAATCGCTTTCAGTCTAATGTTGCTTGTGTCCAATCCTGCAGAACTCCATTGTGCAGCCTGCATGCATCATGCAACAGAGTTTATAACTAGAAAGTTTCTACACAACGTGAAAAACTGCACATCATGCAAAATAGTTGTAGATGCTTATGTAATGTAGGTTATGTCATTTTCTTTATTTAATCATCATTCCTCAAAGAAAGAAGTTAGCATATATAAGAGCTGATTATATAAACTACATGTTGCATCTTTAAGTTGAGCTGGCTTTTTTTCCTTTGCTTTTTGGAAAAAAATTTTAAAAATGTAATAAAATTCTTTTCTAACTGGACAGTCATTTGATTTTTATTTTTTTTTAAATACTGCAACCCATATCTGCGTTTCTACAATCATGTATTTTCTGTTGGTACAACATTTCTCATGGAAATCTATGAAGCAAATGTTCACACAATCTCGGACTAATGCTGATAAAGATACCTTGTGATATAATAAACAGCTATACCAGTGAGGAACAAAAATAATTAACTGCTTTAAATTTGTTGTTTGAAACTCCGCATAGTTGCCACCCTACTTCTGCAGAAAGGTGTCTGCAGCTTTGTCCAGTGGCACAGGCAGTCAAATAGGTTACTTGGATTACAATTCTCACACTCCATTCTCCACGTTTCTTACACTCCTTGGAAGGGTCCCTCACAGAAGTTCAAGGATGTGCACGTTTTGAAAGCTGTATGATTTCAAAAGCTACTACAGCACGATAAAAGACCTCTCATTATCTTCTGGTAACAAACACAGTTCAATTCCCATCCTAGAGGAACTGAGCTCCGAAAGTACAAGGAGTTCGTAGTTGTTTGTTTAATAGACAGCTATTGGGATCGCAGAATCACAAAGACAACAAAGCAAGAGCAGATGTGATTTGCTACTATTTATGTTGGGCATAGTAAGCCAGTGAGCAGCTGTTATTTCTACCGCTTTCAGATGAGACTCAAAAGTAGAGAACTCCTAAAATTTGCAAAGTTTTAAATTCATTCTCCTTCCCTAAGCGGAAACATAGAACTGCCTACCAAAGCAATGGGTCATTTATAGAACCTTTAGCTGCAATACTCATAATCTGCATAACCCAGAACTTCAGTTAATTTCTACTTGGCCACTGAAGCGTTAACTTGTATAAAACTACATTTTTCCAAGAAAATAATATATTTGTTTAATTTATGCATACTAAATATTTACCTGAAGCCGATCCATGGTTAATAATACTAATCTCTTTACTAATTATTTTACTGTTTGCAATCACTTCACCAAAATTAATCTCTGACTCAATTTCCAGGTAACAGCACGGAATTAATCTGCAGAGAAAAGACATGGTTATATTTTCTGAAAACTTGAAAATACCTTTGCATTTTTAAGCAGGTTTGATTAAGCGCTCCAGTGGAAGACAGTTCTCCTTTTCTTCTAGTTCTTCTACCAATGTTTATGCAACTCTCTTCAACAGCACAGCACACGCAGGAAAGATGTAAAAAAGATCCAGCTATCTATCAAGCTGTTTACTTTAATGACTAACTACAATATCTTCAAAACAATAAAGCTTTAAAAAATTAGTTCAAATGGAATGTACACATTTCTATTTAATTTTAATTATTATAGTACAAAGAACTTTAAATAAAACTATCTTGAGTTAGTTGCATCACAAATTAAGACCAAACTTAACATTCACCATATTTCATTATCAGCTGGCTGAACTAAAAGCAGAGACAAAACATCCACGTCAGTTTCAATTTACAGTTGTCTTGTTTTATAAATATTTTATGTGGCTTCCACAAAACTTATTATAACAGAAAGAAGTGGATAATGGCACAAGTTATTTCTATTATTTATTTAAGAGCCTCAGCCAGCATGAGGACACCACTGTACTGGGTGCTGCTTAGCCATAACAAGAGGACCATACTCGCTCCAGGAAACTTGGATTTTAAAGGTCTCAATTTCTAACACAATCATACCTCTGATGTCACATAAAACTGTGCTTGAAATCAATTGGAATTTTACATCAGCACACCAGTCTATCTCCTCTTAACCACAAACAGGAACACACAGGAACAACTGCATCTCAAGATCTGCCTTAAATGCAGCACAGAAGACTAAATGGAGAAGGCCAAGTTAGGGAGACCCTGCCCATATAATCTCTCACATGGGGCAGCAGGGGTGGGGGGAAGGAAGGGAGACAGGAGGGGAAAAAAAAAAAAAAAAAGAATCAGGATACGCAACAAAAGAAGTTGCTCTTGGGAATGTTAATACACTGGCTTTAATTTTCTTTAATAATTTATTGTAACGCAAAAAAAAAAAAAGTAAATTCTTGAAAGAGATGGTCTAGACCAGGAGGATGTGGCCAAAAAAAAGCCAACAAAACAATTAAAAAAAAAAAAAACAAACCATGAAACATCTGTCAAGATTAGAGTACACTTGAAAACATTGTAAAACCCTCACATGTTCCAAGGATTCAGACATTCTTCCAAGAAGCTGTGCTTAGAAAAAACAAAACACAAGTATCTCTCCCCTCAAAATCCAAATATATAACTTCCCAAGTAGACAGGAATAAGCATAAATTCTGACTGCAAGGAGATTTTCTAATAAATACGGAACTATGTGAAAAGGGAGATAGTTAAAAATTTGGGGTTTTGTTTTTTAATACAGGTTGGAGTTCAGTTGGCTGGTTTGGATTGGGTTTGATTGGGTTTTTTTATGAAGATGGAATTCATCCCTGGAAATGACTAATTTCAAAAGTTTTCTTAATATTTGGTAAACAACAAAAAAATAATTCTTAGTTATTATATTAAAAAAAAAAAACAAACAACAGTTTGGATGCAGAGTTTCAGTTAATCATTTTGGAACAAAAAAAAAAAAATACACAACCAAAAAAATCCAACTACAACTCGTTTATTTGAAACACATTCCCAAACCTTGAATATAAGTATTCCATATGGCAATCAAATATTAACATAATCAAATCATTACACTTGTATTACTGAGCACATCACAAACCCATGGTGCTGTAGAGATTAAGCTAAGAATGTTGTTTGGCTCCAAAACTTACATCAAACACATGAGCCACTGGATCTAGTCTCATGAGCCTGGCAAATATGCAACAGCTATTTTACTTGCAAAACAAACAACTGCGATATTACTGTCACTAAAGCACAATAGAAACAAAATTCTTTTTGTGGCATTTTTTAGCAAATAAATGGTTAAAAAAAAAGTGGAGTGTTAGTGCAGTTTAATGTTACACGGGAAATTAACCTTTCCTACACTCTCAGTGAACCTCATCCCAGACTAAAGATGATCTTAAAATGAACAGTAGATGTCATTGAAGGAATCACACAAATTGTTGGCAAAACAGTGGAATCTTTTCACACTTTTTTCCTAAACCACTTGTGAACTTTTCTTTCCATAAAATTCTATGACAAAACAGGCAGACTCCTAATTTCTACAAATTCATAGTGAATGATATATATAGGTACATATCATCGCATATGTATATTCTATACAGAAACAGAAGCTGAAAAACAACATAATTTCAAGGAAAGAAGCCAAAAATAAGCTAGTAGGGAAGAGAAAAGTAGCAGACATTTAAAGAGGCTAGTCCAAATAATATCAGCAACTTTCAAATATTTCTTACGCAATAACGTATTATCTTGAATTATAGTTATGTATTTTCTGAACTTTCTGTCACATGCTTTAAAACTTAATTCTGTTTTGCAGATGTACAACTTTTAAAAGGTACTGCCAGTACACAATCTGAGTGACATTCAGCAGAGACAATGAAAATGAACACTATATTTGAGTTGGCCAAAAATCAGAATTTGTCACTGACAGGAAATTTTGTCTGTGTGTCAGAAAAAAATACAGCAATTTGATGTAAATCTAAGTATAGTCTTAAAAATTTTAAAATCACTTATTTAAATTCTTGATGTTTTAGGAAAAGTAGCACTAGTGTTTACTACACTTATTGATACATCAGTAGAAGTAATATAACATTGTTGAAAATGTAAATAAATGTGCAAAATTTTAATTAAGAAGTGAAAAAATCACATCAGAATTAATTTAATTGGGGGTGGGGGGAGGAAGTGGTGTCTGTCTCTCAAAGCAGAACATTGCAAATATTTTCTTGAAAACATTTTCTTGAAAATATTTTTATGTTCTTCCGTCAACTTCAACACTTTTGTGGACATTTCATAGTGACATTGTAATTTTTATCAAAAAAATCTTTTGACTAGTATATCTCAACCAGTGCTACACCACATACATTTCCTCAAAATGGTTAATGATGCATCTTAAACTATGTTTGTATAGAAAAGTGTATTATGTGTTTAGCGATCCTTCAGTGCAATAATTGAATATCATCTATCTATGCACAGCAGACATGCATGACAAAATGCATTTGGGAAAAGACTAACTAAAAAAGAATCACAAGGTATATTTGTTTTTTCCAAACAAACAAACAAACAAAAATTATTATAGTTTGTCAATGTTTTTCCCTGTAAAAGCCAGGTAAACATGAAGATCTGAAATATCTAACAATCTACTTCAAGTCCTTTCCAGAAAGGAGTCACCAGTAGCATTATCATTCTGAGTGATCTTACTTCCACAACACTATCCTAATAAAAATTCTCAAAAAAAAATGCTAAATATAAAAAATAAAAATAGCAAAATAAAAATTAAAAACAATAAATAAAAATTGAAAAACAAAAAAAAATAAAGTACTCCCTAATCACTTTTTTCTTCTAGGAAAATATATGTTGGGAGAAATTATTTAGAGACAGCTATTTTTAATAGTAAAATGATCACATTGAATTACTAAGTTCTTTATTACCTTATGAAAAGTCATCCCTGTCTTTTAGTCAAAGAAAAGCATTTAGAGTTTTCTACTTAAATTTCTCTAAAGTTATGAAAGCTCTACTAGCATTGTTTAATACTGCGTTCTAAGAGAACAAGAGTTTACAAACACCACAGAAAAAACAACTAATTGAAATTGTTATTTCCAAGTCTCCTGATGGTAGTCTTTTGCTAAAAAGAGACAAAATTTACACCACCTTGAAAACCCCATGTCAGACTTCACTATTTGTGTCCTACATTCACAATAGTACATTAAAATAGAAAAAACCCACAACTTTTAAGACAAAACAAGGAAAAGCAAATCAGTGAAAAAGATCATTACATAAGAGGTAAATGAAATGTCAGAATAAGTATTGCTTATCTGAAGGCAAAACCGTACATACTTCAGGCTAGCATGGGACATTTGTGGGATTGTTTGATTTTTGAAAACAACTCATACTGAATAACCTCCATGGAAATTCCTTTCTGTCTATAGATGTAATTTGTAATGTTAAGATTTTCATAAAAAATACGATTTACATTAGTTGATGGGATTCATCTGTCCTAATTTAGGCATCTAAAAGCTGGACCTGTAAACAGAAGTTTGTCATTCTAATTTCTCTTTATAGACAAAAGAAAGAAAGGTACTCCAGAGCAATTCCCCCTAATCCGCAGATAACTACCTGGCCTAAGTCTGATAAACTATATTTAGAAGCTTATTTTTTTGAAACAATATGTACGTTATACACAATATATAAGCCACATATCCATGTACACACACATAGATAGGCACATACAATCACACACGGATTGATGAGAATGATCCTTGAATGTGTGACCTTATTCTAAAGCATACACCATATTTTTAGAATTAGGCAACATACGCTTCACTATAATCCAGTTTTGAAAATTTGGACAATTACTATAAAATCTTTTATATAAATGGTTCAGTAAGGAGGGAGGACATTAAGAGTAGATATTAACTTGTTTAATGTTGATACAGAATTAGAAACTATCAATTTTATCACAACCAATTTCGAATAAAGCAAAAACAAAAACCCAAACTTTCTCTAGGATCTTAGAGGGACATCACTCCGATTAACTTCTTACCTGTGTATTGCTCTAAAAAAAGAAAAACACCTTACTTTTTTAAGGAAACTTACTATTTGTTTTCAATGCAATAGACAGATTAATTACATAGCCCTATGTGACATGTATTAGCAAACTTTCCACAAGATTAAACTGCAAACAGTAACAGCAGCATATAAACTTTTGACCATCATACCCAAGCAGGGGGATATCAACTATGTCATCTTCTATTAAAAGAAGGAGTCTGTCTTTAAGATTTTCTTCACTCTCAGGATAATATTCCACAATAGCTGTAACTTGAAGTCCAGACACAACAGGTTTTTCTGGATTTTCCACAATCAATTTAAACTGCAATTTAAAAAAACATAAATATTTTTTAAATTGTAAACATTTCTAGCGTAAAAAACATGTAAGTGTCATTCATTTCCAGAAGAATATGCAGATTGATTTAAAATTCACAATCAACTTTAAAATACACAGGAATTTATGAAATTTCTCTTCCTATTTACTGTCCAGACTTTTTACAGTAAAACAGAAAGACAGAATGAATATTAATCCATCGAATTACACAGAAGAGTTGGTTGGCAAAATATCATTTTGTCTTTCCCAGAGAGCTCTAGCTTTTCCTATTGTTGCAATAAACCTTCTGAAGCAACACAAAACCGAGTCAGCTACTACTCAATGCAGAACCTTTCTAATACCCAAGAAAGTAACAAGGATTAAGTCTCAGTCCAAAGCAGCACGAAAAGGAGACAGCATACGAGTTTTCTGTAGGTGTGACCAACATTCAGCTGACATCAACAGAAAGTACATTGAAAATCTGCTTGAAAGGCCCATGGCATCTACAATTTTGGGGGTCGAATGAAAGAGAGAAAAAAAAAACAAACAGAAGCAGCTGACAGAAAGCACCTATTTCCTATCTCAAAAAATAATTCTGGATTTGTTGTTGTCTGAGAACACCTGCTTACATTCAACACCCCCTGTACATCTTTCTTTGAAGAGTACATGAGTAACCTATGAGCACTTTGTGGGAAATCCAGCAGTCCCCATGTTCCTAGGAAAGCCTCACAGCAAGGCCTAGAGCTTCTCTGGTGTTTCAGTCTCCTTACAATTCGCATCGCCCTATGCCCAATGCTTCTGCTCTATATGTCAGTTTTAATTAATGTTTATTTCTGAAAGAGACTCATCTCGGTATCCTTTAATTTTTTTGTTCTAATTTATGTTTGAAATACGCAGACATATCATTTACTACTTGTTGATTCTATTGTCTGAGCATCTCCTTCTATTCCTTTAAAATCTTCCTAGCAATATATAAATACTCAACTAAAGGAAATCTGCTATGTGATGTGCATCGTGATTACAGGCTTGATTTTGAAACAGTAGCCATGTTTTAATCTTAAAGTGTGTAAAATTCATCTCTTCTCTAAAGAGAATTAAACAGCCATGCATATTCATTATATACCAGGGAAAATTAATATATTGTACTAAGAAATTTTAATGAAACCTATGGAACACTGCTTTGTGAGCTAAATTCCTTGAAAGGCATGCACTACGACAGCTCAAGGAAGGTTATTTTTCAGTTCTTGCACTCTATGGATGTAATGCCTCAGAAAATTTACAGATGAGTCATACACTTCAGAGCCATGTAATCACAGATAGCAGCCTAAGGTCTGGGAATGAGAAAGGGCAACACAACAGACCTTTCTGGTACTGAGCATGTGAAGTGGAATCTTGTCCCCTAACTGTCTTATTGGTCATCTCATGCGCAACAGCACTAAAATACTCAGCAAAAAGCACGAGATACAGAGGTAAAAACTCATAAATTATGATTGAGCAACCTTTTCTCTTTCCTAAAATTGACTCTGCCTTTTCACTTCTGGAGCGCATGAAAAATTGATAAGGCTGATGAAAACTAACAAAACAGAATAAGCCCAGCCCTACCAAATCAAGCACTCCCAACACTTTCCAGCTCATTGCAAAATTCTTCAGTTACAGTGTAATAAAAATCAAGCTGTATACATCATGCAAATTAGCAAATTTTAGGGAGAGATAAAACGCATACGCAGTCTTGGCTACTCTTGCCCTCAAACAGAAAGGCTGACTACTCAAATAGTGAAATTATCCAAGGTACTTCAATTGTTTGACAATCATTTTGATGACTACACTGGAATGTACTTATTCATAGTCCAAGTTGCCATGAACACAAAGCAACACCAGCTTCTGTTCAACCCTCAGTGCCAGTTCAACCCTTTGATTCCAATTTTGAAGTAATTAACAGATAATAAACCAGTTAGATGGAAGAACAACATAAAACTACTAACCGCAGCTGGGTTTTCTGAGCCCACGTAGGTTACAAGTCAAAGGCTAAACAGGTTAGAATTGTAAAGATGCATTTGCCCTCAAAAAGTCTGGCTAGGCAATGATTTCTCCAGAACTAATCATTTGCTATTAATAGTAATCATACTATCTTGAGAAAAGATTGTAAATTAACCTTCTTTTCTGAGAAAGCTCTCCACAAGCAAGCCCCACAAACGGACTACTCCACTCAAAAAACTTAGAAGAATGCAATACAGAAACGAGGTATCAATCAGCTCTATGGAAATCCAAGCAAAAACAACTTAAAAAGTTGTGCCCTTCAGCTGATCTGGAAAACTTCACAGATTTGTTGTTCACACCATAGCAAAGTGATCTATTTCTACATAACGCTCCCTGAAATAACAGAGAACTCATGGGCTTCTTGAGGGATAAAATTTCTAGAGAGTGCAAAGCCAGCCAGCAAAGCTAAGCAGGATTTGTTACCAACAAGGGACTTGATGTAGTAAGACATATAAGAAAGCTAATCTACTTCTCTTGAAGCTATGGATTTAACAAACAAGGAAGCTCTCTTCAAATCTCTCATGACCTCAGGAACACATAGAACTGGGAAGATGGGAGTTCGTTTCACTCTGACTTACAAGCTTCAAATGAGCAGCCTCATTTGAAGCTCTACATGAGAATATTTTTCAAGTCTCATAGAAATGACACTTGCATGTTCTCACAAGAAAAAGAGAAACCAGCACATGCTGCCTGCTTCAGAACTGTCACACAAGCAGCGATTCAGACAATTTTGGCTCTAATAATTGCCTTTATTCTTTCCAGCTTACGCAGTTATTCAACTATTTTAAGTTAATTTCCAATTCGCTGGCTAATTCCAGTCTGTCTCATGAGCTGCTCAGGCATCCCATGGTAGCATTTTCCACTTGAGGCAGCCGAACAAACACTTACAGCTGCCCAAACAGCCTCTTCCACAAGTCGCACCCAGCTGGGCAAACCTGAGGGCAGATGCCCCCCCCACAAAACTGCCGAAAACAAAAGCGGGGCCTCGAGATGCGCTTTTCCTCTGGCAATGTTCTGCGTGTCAAGGAGGGCCCGGCAAGCGCGAGGCGAGGGAGGTGCGTGCCAGTTCCTCAGGACGAGCCCAGGAGGAAGGGATACAGCCCCACGGGACTCAGGGCGGG